ACTCTACCTCCTTGTTCTTTATGTAATACCCATACACTGCTGAACAGTGCTCACAATTGGCATACACTGCTGAACAGTGCTCAACATCTTATCTTCTGTTTGACAGTTGGATAAGATGGATCTTCATTTAGCTTGTGGGTCATCACCTCTGGTGGTATACCTGTTATATCTGAATGCGACCAAGCAAAGAAATCTATGTTATCTTGTAAAAATTTGATAAGTTTACCTTTTATTTCTAGACTTAGCTTTAGTCTAACATAAACTTTTCTATCTGGCCACTGATTGGAAAGTGTGATAGCCTCGAGTTCTTCTATTGTTGTTTTGATGTTTTCATTTTCTTCTGACAATTGGATGACATCGGGCCTTGAATCTACGTCCGTTTGTCCACCTTCAGCTGAGGTTTGTGCTGCTGTGTCCTTAATTGAATTCTGTAATTGCTATTTTTTGTCTGCATCATTGCTCGCTATCCTCGAATCTGCCACTGAATTGATACTTCTAGAATGTCACACCTCCTTTTTGCACTATACCCGTGAGAGTGTAAAGGAGTTTTTCCACTTAAAGGACAATCGGAACGGGATTTATTATTAAGATTCAGAGTCGCCACTTGGGAGATTAATGGTGTCCCAAGTCACCGGTTGAATCCCGAACCGAGGAAATTATGACTCTGTTAACAGTCCGCGAACCAGAAATCCGAGTAAGGAATTCTGTTAACCCGGGAGAAGGTGTTAGGCATTCCCGGATTCCGTGGTTCTAGCACGGACGCTCAACTGTTGTATTTGCTTTTATCTGATTTTAAAACATGTTCTAACCTATGTGCCCTTTTATTAATAAACCGCTTTTATTTTATTTTATTTTTATTTTTTAAAGAATTGCAACGTCGTGAGAATGCGTCTCGAACCACGTCGCACCAGTGCACCCGTGATTGTTAACACATTTCGACTCCGTTGAGATTTGGATTTGGGTCACATAAATGTGCGCCCGTAATTACGAAGGTAAGATTATTAAAACGCGCTTAAAGTGACTTAACGAGTTATTATCTTTGAGGAAAATCGTGGAATTTGCTAAACGGTTCACCCGAGTTCTAAGTTTTTTTTTATAGCATTTATGGAGGGCCCCACCATTTGTACATTTTATTTGGCGAGGCTCGTCTCATCATATTGATTAAAGGCCAACCTTGAGCAAACTACAATTTCCACTTGATTTACCTCTAAAAATAAAAGAAAAAGTCTTGAGTAATTAACGTGTGTGAAAGGTCCAAAACTCCATAAGACAATATCAAACAACTGGGCCCGAGAATTGAACAAGTAAAGCAAGCCATTTGCACCCAACAGCTTCAGTTTCATTACTCAGGAATTGGGCATACTAGGCCCGTAACAGTTCACAGGCCCGGTATCAAATCAACTGGGCCTGCCTATAAAATTACGCAGCTAGACCAGTAATGTTTGGGCTTCATAAATTAGAGCAGCCCAGCTTGATCAATTGATGTAAGATGTAATTGATTTGCGGACCTAGCTTTACACCTGTGTCAACTTATGAATTCTGATTTTGCACTCAAGATTAGTATCACTTTAAGTTATTGTAGTTGATGAAACTGATGGCCAGTGATGTTAATGAAACCGGATTACTTATAATCAACTCTAATGAATCACACTTATTCAACAATGATTACTGACATTTAAATCACACATGAGTCTACGGCTAGTTTCTGATTTCGAATCATACATACATGACCTGTCTACTAGACCTAGACGAACGTGAACAGCTGCCTATGCGCTGCTGTTTGCATTCGATTACCAGTTTAATAACAATAAAAAAAAGTAGTCAACCCACATTACACTAAGGGCTTTATTTCAGGAGGAATAAAGTCCAAACCACAACTGACAGTCTACTACAAGTTAAATAAAACAGTCCTAATTAAACAATCACTGGTTCAATATAATTCAAACAAATTAAGGCTAAATAACTACATAACACTCAATTGATTATAACTTCAGCTATTCAAGTGAACACAAACTGGAACATCACTTCATTTCACTCCAATTTGATGCTACATTAGTGTGAGTTTAAACGGTGTACCTGGATTTAAAATAGAACAGAAGAAAAAGAAGGAGTCAGCAGCAGGTAATCAACTGGTATTCAGCAGTCACAAGCAGCAACAACAGGCAGGAATCAACAACAACCTAGAGCTAACTCAATCGGTCCAGGAATAGTTTGAAACCCAGCAGAAACCAGAAATGAACCAGACACAATTTGACTAAACCAATTGAAATTGAAATTGAACCCAAAATCTCATTCTCACTCAGCAAATAACCCAGTGGAACTCAAACAGACAGATCCAATCCTACAAATGACTCCAAATGCTGTAATTTTGAATATAGAACAGAAGCAGAAAGGTTCCAACTATTTCTGATCCTAAGTGAGCCAAAGAGCTGAATTAATGGCTGAAAGTTCGAAAATGATCTAAAGGAAGCAATGAAACAGTAACTTTTATTTTGGTGTTTTGTTGTTTTCTATTGTTTTTGGTTTTTTGAATTTGTGATTTTCTATCTCAGATCTGAAAGTTGAGAGAAGGGCTCCAACCTATAGCAATTTTCAGGGATTCCCCAAAAGCCTCCTCTGCAAGGCAAATGAATGCCTATTTATAGGCAAACTTAGGGTCCAATTTCAGATTTTCACTTTTCCCATTAGTCGCCATTTTAATTCTATTTTTACCCCTTTATATTCTGACTTGTTACACAAGTAACTACACCTATTTGTTGAAATCTGTACTAAAGCCCATTCTAGAAGGGTCTAAACCCATTACAATTCCTATTCTACCCTTACTTCATTTCAGAAATTACCAAACCTGATTAAACTACCCTTTTCCCTTTCCAAAATACCCTTAAAACACCTGGGAATTATTACCCAAATCCAGCAGTCCCCTAGACCTAATTAAGGATCAACTACCTCAAAATAATTAATGAATTCCTATAATTCTAATCAGAAAAACAGAATTAAACTAATCAAAATAAACAGAAATTAAACTAACAAATTGACATCTAAAACAATTAGAGATCCTAATTCCAACAGGTTTAAATCATGAACAAACTAACCAAATAACAGAAAGTTCTATTACTTAAAGCTATCATTTAAACATTTAACAAAATCCGATCAAGATGACAATTAAACTAGAAGTCAAAACCAAATCAACCGAAGATGATGAAGCAAAGAAAATTTAAAAACTCCTAGAATTAACCAAATCAGAATTATGCACCACTGCCACTGAAACTATCATAACAACCATGGCTATACCAAGAACAGAACCAGAGATTGATTAAAAAGAAGAAAACAACCAACACAAGAAAACAATCGGTCACTGAACCTAATTGATGAAATTGGACATGAACATGAAAACACATGCATAAAAAGACAAAAATTAAACAAACAAGAAAGGGAAACGTTGAAGAAAAACTTATCAGGTTCGCGAAAGCTGNCATAGGCACAACATTTGCCACCCAGGTGGTGTATCGGACAGCTCTGACCACATTGGCGCTCAGTTGCTTCATTATTTCCTCTTTGATTTTGTCACTTAGGTCTGTTTTAAATTTTCGTTGCTTTTGTTGGACTAGTGGAAAACCAGGATACGTAGGAAGCTTATGAACCACCAGATCTGCACTTAAACCCGACATATCATCGTAAGACCAAGCAAACACATCTCTGTATTCGAATAAAAGTTGAATCAAGGCATCTCTGGTTTTTTGTTCAGTGTGAATGCTTATCTTCGTTTCTCTAACTTCTTCAGGACTTCCGATATTAATCGGCTTAGTTTCATTGAGGTTTGGCTTAGGCTTGTTTTCAAATTGTTCCAACTCTCTTTTTATTTTCTCAACAACCTCATCTTCATCATATTCAACCTCTTGATGTATTATTTCGATATTAGACAGCTTTTTAAGATCTGGGCGTGAATTCCGCATGCATGTCATGTTATTAAAGCCGGCATTAACAAAACTGAAATGGAAATAAAATGACAGGAATTAGGAAAAGGAAAAATAGAAAACTTAATAGAAAACTGAACTGCATTTCATTGAATTCGAAAGGATGGAAGGGTTAACATCAAAACAAAACAATCATACTGAGATGTTTGGATTACAACCCTGAAAGTAACCCAAAATACAAAAAGAAGCTGCAAAAGCAAACTACCAAGACTCCTTCCTTGTGGGGAGAGGAGTTGCTTCCCAGTTGGTGAGCATGGTGTCTGGGTCAATTAGCTGCATATCGGCACGACTAGTGCCTTCACCAGCCTGGATCATACTCACTTCAGAGAACATCTGGCTGAGGCCATGGCAAATTTCATCAATGTTTGCATGCGCCGAGGAATTTTGACCCTCTTGGAGTCGTGACTTGACAAAAGTGTAGAAAATATAAGGGATAAGTTGTTGCAAGACCCATCCATACTTTTTGCGGTGCTTGGCTTTGTTTTCGTCTACTTGTGTTGGTCTGAAGCCTAAGCCAAAAGTACCCTGGTTACCGAACGCAGAAATAGGCTCCGAAATTCCTTGAAATGATGCCCCCAAGCCTTTTCGTGGTTCATAACCTTGTCTCATCATAACTACAGCCACCATTACAGATGTAGAGGAAAGACGAGGATGCAGAATGGGCTTTCCTTCCTCGACATGGTCCACAACAACCACTTCAAAAGCCTGATAGACAATGGACTCAGACCCTTCCTTGGCCTCGATGCAGGGGATTAATGGGTCTTTATAAATGGAAGACTCGTCTTCCCCGTGAACAATAATTTCTTGCCTGTCATGTTCAAATTTGAGCATCTGATGCAAGGTGGATGGCACAGCTCGGGCCGTATGGATCCATGGCCTTCCAAGAAGAAAGTTATAAGAAGTGGCCATGTCTACTACTTGGAAGACAATCTCAAAGTCAACCGGCCCAATCGTCATGGTGAGGTTGATTTCCCCAATGGTATCTCGCGCTGAGCCATCAAAAGCCCGGATGCGAACATTACTGGGTCAGATTCTGTCTGTATTGATCTTCATGCTTTGCAAGGTAGAGAGAGGGCACACATCCACACTTGAGCCTCTGTCAACCATGACTCGCTTTACATAATGCCCCTCACATTTGACCATCAAGTTCAAACCCTTATTGTGCCCGGCTCCTTCCTCGGGAAGTTCATCATCAGTAAAGGAGATTCTGTTCACCTCGAAAAATCTGTTGGCCATCTTCTCGAACTGATTCACTGTGGTCTCCTTTGAGATATGTGCCTCGTTCAGGACCTTGATTAGTACGCGGACATGCTCTTTGGAATGTATGAGTAGAGATAGTAGAGAGATTTGGGCAGGAGTCTTTCTTAGCTGGTCAATGATTGAGTAATCCTGAACTTTCATCTTCTTCAAAAACTCTTCCGCCTTTGCTTCAGTGACTGGTTTCTTTATTGGCAATTGGCCTTCTCTGATTTGCTTGGCCTTCCTTAACTCTTCTGGAGAGTAGCACCTCCCTGATCGAGTCAAACCTCCAGTTTCCCCCACTTCCTCTATGATTTCCTTGCCTTTGTAGGTCATCACAGTTTTGTTGTAGTTCCAAGGAATGGTTTTCGTATTTGTCACAGGGGGTTGCACGACAGGTTTGATTACGATCGGCTCCATTATACCATTCGTACCACCCTGATTCTGCCTTGTGATAGGGGGGCCTGTCACACCTCCCTTTTGCACTATACCCGTGAGAGTGTAAAGGAGTTTTTCCACTTAAAGGACAATCGGAACAGGATTTATTATTAAGATTCAGAGTCGCCACTTGGGAGATTAATGGTGTCCCAAGTCACCGATTGAATCCCGAACCGAGGAAATTATGACTCTGTTAACAGTCCGCGAACCAGAAATTCGAGTAAGGAATTCTGTTAACCCGGGAGAAGGTGTTAGGCATTCCCGGATTCCGTGGTTCTAGCACGGTCGCTCAACTGTTGTATTTGCTTTTATCTGATTTTAAAACATGTTCTAACCTATGTGCCTTTTTATTAATAAACCGCTTTTATTTTATTTTATTTTATTTTTATTTTTAAAGAATTGCAACGTCGTGAAAATGCGTCTCGAACCACGTCGCACCAGTGCACCCGTGATTGTTAACACATTTCGACTCCGTTGAGATTTGGATTTGGGTCACATAAATTTGCACCGTAATTACGAAGGTAAGATTATTAAAACGCGCCTAAAGTGACTAACGAGTTATTATCTTTGAGGAAAACCGTGGAATTCGCTAAACGGTTCACCCGAGTTCTAAGTTTTTTTTTATAGCATTTATTGAGGGCCCCGCCATTTGTACATTTTATTTGGCGAGGCTCGTCTCATCATATTGATTAAAGGCCAACCTAGAGCAAACTACAATTTCCACTTGATTTACCTCTAAACATAAAAGAAAAGGTCTTGAGTAATTAACGTGTGTGAAAGGTCCAAAACTCCATAAGACAATATCAAACAATTGGCCCGATAATTGAACAAGTAAAGCAAGCCATTTTCACCCAACAGCTTCAGTTTCATTACTCAGGAATTGGGCAGACTGGGCCCGTAACAGTTCACAGGCCCGGTATCAAATCAACTGGGCCTGCCTATAAAATTCCGCAGCTAGACCAGAATTGTTTGGGCTTCATGAATTAGAGCAGCCCAGCTTGATCAATTGATGTAAGATGTAATTGATTTGCGGACCTAGCTTTACACATGTGTCAACTTATGAATTCTAATTTTGCACTCAAGATTAGTATCACTTTAAGTTATTGTAGTTGATAAAACTGATGGCCAGTGATGTTAATGAAACCGGATTACTTATAATCAACTCTAATGAATCACACTTATTCAACAATGATTACTGACATTTAAATCACACATGAGTCTACGGCTAGTTTCTGATTTCGAATCATACATACATGGCCTGTCTACTAGACCTAGACGAACGTGAACAACTGCCTATGCGCTGTTGTTTGCATTTGATTACCAGTTTAATAACAATAAAAAAAAAGTAGTCAACCCACATTACACTTAGGGGTCTATTTCAGGAGGAATAAAGTCCAAACCACAACTAACAGTCTACTACAAGTTAAACAAAACAGTCCTAATTAAACAATCACTGGTTCAATATAATTCAAACAAATTAAGGCTAAATAACTACATAACACTCAATTGATTATAACTTCAGCTATTCAAGCGAACACAAACTGGAACATCACTTCATTTCACTCCAATTTGATGCTACATTAGTGTGAGTTTAAACGGTGTACCTGGATTTAAAATAGAACAGAAGAAAAAGAAGGAGTCAGCAGCAGGTAATCAACTGGAATTCAGCAGTCACAAGCAGCAACAACAGGCAGGAATCAACAACAACCCAGAGCTAACTCAATCGGTCCAGGAATAGCTTGAAACCCAGCAGAAACCAGAAATGAACCAGACACAATTTGACTAAACCAATTGAAATTGAAATTGAACCCAAAATCTCATTCTCACTCAGCAAATAACCCAGTGGAACTCAAACAGACAGATCTAATCCTACAAATGACTCCAAATGCTGTAATTTTGAATATAGAACAGAAGCAGAAAGGTTCCAACTATTTCTGATCCTAAGTGAGCCAAAGAGCTGAATTAATGGCTGAAAGTTCGAAAATGATCTAAAGGAAGCAATGAAACAGTAACTTTTATTTTGGTGTTTTGTTGTTTTCTATTGTTTTTGGTTTTTTGAATTTGTGATTTTCTATCTCAGATCTGAAAGTTGAGAGAAGGGCTCCAACCTATAGCAATTTTCAGGGATTCCCAAAAGCCTCCTCTGCAAGGCAAATGAATGCCTATTTATAGGCAAACTTAGGGTCCAATTTCAGATTTTCACTTTTCCCATTAGTCCCCATTTTAATTCTATTTTTACCCCTTTATATTCTGACTTGTTACACAAGTAACTACACCTATTTGTTGAAATCTGTACTAAAGCCCATTCTAGAAGGGTCTAAACCCATTACAATTCCTATTCTACCCTTACTTCATTTCAGAAATTACCAAACCTGATTAAACTACCCTTTTCCCTTCCCAAAATACCCTTAAAACACTTGGGAATTATTACCCAAATCCAGCAGTCCCCTAGACCTAATTAAGGATCAACTACCTCAAAATAATTAATGAATTCCTATAATTCTAATCAGAAAAACAGAATTAAACTAATCAAAATAAACAGAAATTAAACTAACAAATTGACATCTAAAACAATTAGAGATCCTAATTCCAACAGGTTTAAATCATGAACAAACTAACCAAATAACAGAAAGTTCTATTACTTAAAGCTATCATTTAAACATTTAACAAAATCAGATCAGAAGACAATTAAACTAGAAGTCAAAACCAAATCAACGAAAGATGATGAAGCAAAGGAAATTTAAAAACTCCTAGAATTAACCAAATCAGAATTATGCACCACTGCCACTGAAACTATCATAACAACCATGGCTATACCAAGAACAGAACCGGAGATTGATTAAAAAGAAGAAAACAACCAACACAAGAAAACAATCGGTCACTGAACCTAATTGATGAAATTGGACATGAACATGAAAACACATGCATAAAAAGAGAAAAATTAAACAAACAAAGAAAGGAAAACGTTGAAGAAAAAATTATCTAGGGTTCCGCTGGAAAGCTTGAAATCAATATTCGAACACATTTGAGCCAAGCACTCATGGGGGTCTGATAGGGAAAGACCAGGCGGTCTTATGGTGTTAATCTGGGCTCGATTGGGTTGTTTTGGACCTGGACGGAAACTTTCAATTCAATATTCGAGACACTCCGGCCAAATTCGAGAAACTGGGTTAGGGGGGTTTGAAAGAGGAGGGTGTGACGGTCCTACGGTGTAATTTTGGTATGATTTGGGTTACCTTGGGCCGTGGCCGGAAAATCTTTAGAAGAAGATTCGACGAGCTCGACGTCGATTCGAGGGAAAAGGATTGGGTATTTGGAAAGGGGATGAGAAGAGGAATTTGGGATACTATTTTGAGAGTGAACGACGATGATGGCGTTTGCCGGCGGCGGCTCCGCAGGTGGTGTTACAGAAGAGTACGATGAAGATACAAAATGTTTTAGGGTTAATGAATTCTCGGACAATTTTATTAAAATTGAAGGATCAATCGTGGCCGTCGGATGATGGGAGATGGACGGTCATGATTAAACGACGCTAAAACAACGTCGTTTTGAATATGAGGCAATTGGACCGGGTGGTCCTGGGATTGGGCTGGGGCTAGCTGGTGGACGATTTGGGCCTCAATGGTTTGAAATTAAAATGAGCCCAATCTGGGCAGCCCTTCCTTTTGTAACTCTTTTTCCTTTCTTTATTTCTTTTATTCTTTTTGTTTTCCACCTTGTATTTTTGTATTATTTTGATTTTATAAAGATGCAAAAACAGAAATAAAAATTAAGCTAAACTAATTAATGCCTAAAATTACTTTAAAACTATTTTCTGACCATTTTTCAATTAAAACAATAAAAATGCAAAAGTGAACTATTTTTGTGATTTTCATGTTTTGTTCTAAAATAAATTAATACTTAAAAATGTGAAATTAAATTCCTAAATGCAAATGCATATTTTTGTATTTTTAATATGAATAAAAATGCAACCAATTAACACAAAAATTTAACGAAAATTCACACAAAAAATAAAATTGTAAAATAATAAAGAGATCAATTATTCGAAACTTTTGGAATTAATTTGCTTAGGGCAAAAATCACATGCTCACAGGGCCTCCAAGGACATACAACCTTGGGCTTGGAACATTGGAGCGAACCTCTAACCTCGATACCTTAGGCATACATAAAGTTACCCTTTCTGAGTTCGGGGCGCCTTTCACAATTAACGGCACATCTCGGCTTGGACTTACTTCCAAAGTTGTTCCTTCTTGAATCGCTCCCACTGTCATTTTTGCTTGATCGACCGGCTTGTATCCTTGATCTCGGCCAATCATTCCCACAAAATGAACATCATTGTGTGTTGGCAACGGGTTGTTTGTCACATTAGGAGGGTCCTCGCCATTTGTCACTACAATCAATTTTTTAGAAATGAGTCTCTCTATGGCTCTTTTCAAAGTCCAACAGTCATCAGTGCTATGCCCCGGAGCACCTGAATGATATTCACATCTAGCATTTTCTTGAAATCCATGTGAATCAAGATGCATATGGTGGGGAGCGATGGGTCCAATCACGCCCATTTGCTTCAGTTTCTGGAATAGACTAGAGTATGATTCAGCCAATGGAGTGAATTTTTCTGCTAGGCCCTTGGAGCTAGTGCCCGTACCTGCTGATTGGGAGGTCGAGCATATGATTGAGCATTGAACACCGTATATTGTGGTGGGCCTAAAGAGTATTGAGGAATTGGCGGGGGATAGTAATGTTGAGGTGGATTGCCCCTATTGAACTTGCACGTAAGGGTGCGATGGCCCTCTTTGAACTTCCCTGGATCCCGAAGCCATCATGGACCCTTCATCTCTCTTCTTTCTATTTGCCAAACCTCCCGACCCATTTTGGATAGATTGGGTGGTGGCTTTAAGAGCAGCTTGACTTACAATTCTGCCAGTCTTGAGGCCATTTTCGACCATCTCCCCTATTTTGATTGCTTCTGCAAAAGGTCTACCCATCGCGGACATCATGTTCTGAAAGTAATCAGGCTCTGGAGCCTCCAGAAAAACAGTGATCAACTCGTGGTTATCCATGGGTGGCTTAACTCTAGCCGCTTGCTCCCTCCACTTGATGGCATACTCCCTAAAACTCTCAGTCGGCTTTTTCTTCCTATTGGACAAAGAATTACGATCCGGCGCAATATTAATGTTGTACTGAAATTGCTTGACGAAAGCCTGGGCCATGTCATCCCAAACATGCCAATGAGAGATGTCTTGGTCAGTGAACCATTCGGAAGCTACACCCACAAGGCTTTCCCCAAAGTAGGCCATCAGCAGCTCTTCCTTTCCTCTTGCACCCCTCAGCTGGTTGCAGTACCTTTTCAAGTGGGCGATAGGGTCGCCGTGTCCATCATATTTCTCAAATTTTGGGGTCTTGAATCCTCGTGGCAAATGGATGTGAGGGAACATGCATAGATCACTGAATGAAACACTTTTGTGACCACCTAGTCCCTGTATATTCTTTATATTCTGTTCAAGACTTTTTATTTTCCTGGCCATCTCATCCGGCTCAACCGTCGTGGCGGGCTTTACATTTTCCACTAGTGACTCGTATTGTGGAGTCTGATTGTATGGAGCCGAGACCCCGAAAGCCATATTTGGAGAATAGTATTGGCCATCATAAGCATGAGATGGTGGCTCATTGTTTGGCCTTGTCACAGGAAGTGGTGGCGGGATTGTATATACCGGTGCACCAGACACGACGAGAGGGGTATTCCTGACTGGTGCGACTGGAGGTCGCATGTTAGAGGTACCGGGGGCAGCATGGAGGCTGTAGTTTGGCACATACCCTGGTGGTAGAATGTGATCGCTCGTTGCATGGAGCGGTGTTTGAGTAGCCTGGGGTATGGTGGAGGTTCCCTCGGAAGGACCCTGGGGTGGAGGTCGACCGGAGATCCAAGCTTGATATACATCTGACAGTTGCTCTCTCAATTTTCTTATCTCCTCCGACGCTTGCTTAACTGACTGACCCTGCGGATTGTCACTGACCAACTCGATTTCATCACTGTTATCCATTACCACTGCTCCCTTAGATCTTGTGAAGTAATGATGTGTTGCCAGTTTCACCACAAACCAACCACCTTAAGGTTACTATATAAGAGGTAACAAACGTGTTAGGGTTAAGCATTTTACAAATAGGAATCACACGTAGATATGCCATGCTCCTAAAATATCACCATCTCTAACATGATTTTTGGAAGGCTTCATGTTTCATTCCAGCTTACCGGCTTGTTGCTTATTGGCACTGTTATCTCTCTTTTTTTTTCTTTCACTCGCCTTATTTTGATCCCTTACTTTAGAGTCATTAAAAAAAATATTTGATCGAACCTTTTGTGGGTTTCCTACGTATCATGTCGCCGCATGAATCAGATCATTACGTAGTTCAGGTACAAGACCCTTTTTTTTTTTTTTTACAAAACAAACATCTTTTTGGTTCATTTTAGAATTTTTCTAAACAAAAATCTTTTTCATTGATTTTCAATATAATTTTTTTTATACAAGACTCAAAAGCAAGAGTTACATAAAGATAAACAAGACCAAACCTGACTCAAACAGAATTTTTAGGATAAAAGGCAAAACAACAAGACTCAAAACACCAAAAGACTCTTACAGACTCAAAAACAACAAAAGCATAATGAAAAGGACTGATAACTAAAAGAAGACTTTGATCCCAGCAGTAGAATCCACCAGCATCACTGTAATCAAGGCTCTTGTTCCTGCGGCTGACCCCAACATTGCGGTATATCCTCTCCAAGTTTGCAGATATATGACGAGCAATGTTCAATGATACTTCTGCAAACCGCTCCGGCGTCATTCCCTGGCAACTTGTCACACCTCCTTTTCCTACTACATCCCGTGAAGGGCATAATAAAAGGAAGTTATTTCCAACTTGAAGTGACAATCGAAACGGGATTTATTATTAAGATTCAGAGTCGCCACTTGAGAGATTTATGGTGTCCCAAGTCACCGGTTGAATCCCGAATCGAGGAAAGTATGACTCTGTTTAACAGTCCGCGAACCAGAAATCTGAGTAAGGAATTCTGTTAACCCGGGAGAAGGTGTTAGGCATTCCCGGGTTCCGTGGTTCTAGCACGGTCGCTCAACTGTCATATTCGGCTTAATTATCTGATTTTAATACATGTCTTAATCTATGTGCTTTTTAACTTTGAACCGCTTTATTATTATTTTTAAAGAGACTTGCAACGTCGTGAAAACACGTCTCGAACCACGTCACATAAATGCACCCGCGGTTTTTGACACATTTCAACTTCGTTGGGATTTGAATTTGGGTCACATAAATGTGCACCCGAGTTTAGGAAGGTAATGTTATTAAAATACGCGCCTAAAGTAGCTAGCGTGTTATTATATTTGGGGAAGGCCGTGAAATTCGCTAAACGGCCCGTCCCGAAGTCTAGGCATTTTAACATGATCATTTAATGAGGGCCCCGCAATTTATATGTTTTGTCTAGCGAGGCTCATCTCGTTTATTATTTGAAAGGCAAACCTAAAGCAATCTATAATTTTCTATTTTGTATTTGTCTCTAATAATAAAAGAAGAAGCCCTAATTAATTATTATTGTTTAAAGCTACTATCCTCTTGGGTTCATGCCTTTTATAAGAACTTCATCAGTTTCCTTTAGGCCTCAAGCTTAGCCCTGGAAGAATACATAACCCAGCAGATTCGTGGGGTCTCACACGATTTGATTTCAGCCCCAAAATTAACAAATGGGCCTAACAATTTGCAAGCTCAAAACAGCCCAGATTTCAGATCAGCGTTGGATTTAATATCACAGCCTAATTACCTTATTTATTTTACCTACCAGCGACGTCTTAGCTATTCAAATCAGTAAAATTGATATTGCATACTTAATTCAAGTGAACTACTAATATTGAACTCGATGTGGCCATCACCCACTGATTTCAACTTAATTGCAAGTTTAAACTATTTCTGATTTTTAATTTTAAACAGAAAAATGCTAAACATAAAACAAGTACCAACTACAGCTGATAACTACGAATTAACAGTCCAAATAGTTCAATTAGGTACAAACTACACAGTCCGAGTTTCATTGAATATAGATCTAATTAGACTACATTATACAGTTATATCATTAATATCTAATTAACTACATTGCGTCTTCCAGCAAACAAATGCTTGAATACTTTCATTTCATGTTCAATCTCGAAGCTACATCAACTTTGAGTTCAAATGTGTACCTGGGATTAAAATGCAAAAGTGAAGAAGAAATGGAGGTCAGTGAAGCAGTGATGAACAACAGCCCAGACTCAGAACAACGAAATCAATTCAGCTCCTAAATTAACACAGCAAAACCAGGAACAAACAACACCAGATCCAACACCCAAAGCACATGAAATCCAAACACAAATGGACCAAAATATGCTCAAAACCAACCAAAAACTCCCTGAACTCGAACCAAACCCAAATCTAAAGATATTCAGGCCATTTCTACTCTTCTGTCGACTGGAAGTCTCATCTACAGCTGAAAATCTAACTCAAGCTCTAAGAGAAATTCCGATAGAACAGGACTTTTATAGAATTTTTCTACTATTTTTTGTGTTTTTCTGTTTGAAGAAGTTCAAATCTAAAAGAGTGTTTGATCTAAAATTTGAATTTCAGATCTGNTTGAAATATTCCCTTGTTCTCCAGGTGGGCTCCTGACTGCTGAAGCTTGAAGAGTATTCCCTTGTTCTCCAGGTGGGCTCCTGCTTGCTACCTTGGACAGTACTCCCTGCTTGCGACAAACATACAAGACAACGAAAATTTCTGCCCCTGTTCCAATCAAAGAAAAATTTGTTAATGTAAAATGGTGGTTAGCTGCTGGCATCCTTGTTGGCCATGCTCCCGCTTCCGACTTTGCTCTGACTTGCTTTTTTGGACTTGCTTTGACTTGCCACGATTTCCCGATTAACTTTCAACCCTCTGATCTTGATGACCCACATGTTTTACCTCGTATTACTGTTTGGTGTTTCTGTTCCCTTCTTGTGAACCTTGCTTCTCCCTCACAACCATCTGATTATTCCACTGATTTTCATTGGTCCTTCATGTTTTACTCTCTTTTGATATGTCCCAACCTTGTTGTGCCATCTAACTGGGAAGCTGGTAGTTAGCTTTGACGTCCTTCTTTTGTTTTTGAATAGAACTGACACTAAAACATCTTATAGACAGACTTCAAGAGAATGAAATGCAATGACCTCGAAAGTTTTGAGGATAGAAAAACTCTGAAAACGAATGAGTTGTAATGAAGAGAAAAAGGACAGGACTTATCTGAGCGGAAAGGCTGATTCCATTGATCGTGCCATGCATTTCGGATTCCAGCCTAGTCTGTCCAACCAATCAATTGTCAATTACCACATTTGCTGTCTCATACTTTCACGCCCGACTCTCGCCAAAACCAAACCTTGCTTGTTTTGCCATGTTTCAAACACCTTTCAACCACAGACTTCTTTCATTTGCCCAACTGAAAAACTCACTTTCGCCTTACAGTGCCCGTGAGGGTTTTCACCAATAAGAC